TTCTGAATTACATAACAGCCACCAATAGGGAGCTCTAGAATCTGACAGCTAACAAATTGGGTACTACCAAACAGCGACCCCTATTGCTGAAAGCAGGTAACCAGCAGGGAACGCTTCAGCTCAGCCTTTGCACTGTTGACTGAATACCCCCTGCTGTGCAGATAATAGAGAAAGCTCATAAATTGTATCCCTTCTGGCATCCTGGCCAACTCTATTACGCTGGTGTAAACCCTGGTGCACCAGAAGCCCAAAATAGTAGCAAATAAAATCCGCTCATACGTCAGTGATTGATAAGACTTCTCAACCATTTCTTCCAAAGTCTTCCTAAATTATAAAACTCCAAAATACAAGCCAAAAGAGAACAGGTCTGGGAAGAACGAGACATACAATGGGCACCACCAGTGAAAAGGCCCTGCTCTGTGTAGCTCCTGCCCTGTCATTTGATAGGGTGTTCACTTGCCCTCCTTCTTGACATGGAATGCTCTCTATTGGAGTCTCCCGGTCCAGTACAAAGACCATAAGAAGGGAGAGCAGGAACCTTGAAGATCCCAACAGCTGTTAATCAAGCAAGCAAGCACACAGTTCACCTTTGTCACAGTCAGGGCACCTATGTCCTGGCTGGGCCTGCGCCCAATCTTGTTTTTGTATAATCTTGTTTGTTCTCAGTAACCAAAATTATATTATCAACATATACAAGCAGAAAAGTTGTTTTCCTTCATTTGCAAGGAATCGTACAAAACAAAGTGAAACTAATAAAGAAAAGTTCCAGGGTGGCAACAGAAAGCAAACTAAAAATGCTTTTGTAAAACTATCCAGCAATATCAAGTTATAGGAAAACTGGTGCTATTAACAGTAATCCTTCTAGTTGGTTAATTGGTTCGGCAACTTCCATGCACATGATGTGTGATGCTAATTATTTCCCCAAAGAGTGAAATGATAACTAATCAGAGGCAGCTACAGTTGCAAATGACAACAAAATATCCGCGAAAGGAAGAGGAGCACGTTTGCTCAAGTGTGTTGCAGGTAGAAATACTGTTTGTAATGAAGTGAGAGCAGTAGTTTACTTGCTCGAATTAACGAATAAGAAAGTTTTGAGAATTTAAATTCTAGATTAAATTTGATTACTTAATTGAGAAGGGGATTGTAGCCTAGGGCCTCTCTTCATCTAAATCTGGCCCTGCATTGAGGGCGCAACAGAATCTGAAAGAGACCTGGAACTGGGTTCAGAAGAACTGAGCTAAGTGTTGAGTTTGAGGGGAAAGCATTTGTTGTTGTTGTACTTCTTAGAGCCCAGTTCTATATGTGACCAGAGCGAGCTTGTTCGTCACTAGTGCCAACCTCTTGGTTCTGGAATATTTTGGGAGTGTAATTTGTCAGAAACTTCAAGAGCACATAAAATACTGATTTTGGAAACAAATCAAACACTGGCCAATGGATATGCAAATACAATGTAGTGGCTGCTGTTTCCTTGTACTCTTACCATCTGCTGTATACACCTGTTGTTTTCTATAGAGTGCAGCAGGGACATGGAGAAAACAGGTGGAGAGGGGGCTTGTATTTGGTTGTATTTATGCCTATATGGGTGCAAGAGATTCCAGGGGATTTTTTTTGGGGGGGGGGGTTCATTGCCATTGCTATGCAAACAGTGGAATTACAGTGGCCATAAAACTGTCTTTGTTGGGCCATGTGAAAAAACCAGTGTCTCCAAGCTCACCAGCAACAGAGTACAATCACTACTCCTTTGAAGATAGATTGATGGAAGAAACCACTGTAATCAAAGAGAGGCTTACAGGTGAGAAAGTAGCAACACACTAATAAAGTAGTCTGGTTAGATAAAAGAATATACATGAAAATGTCTGTATATAGTTGTAATGCCATTCAGTAACCTTTCCTCTTCCTTGCTCTGTGGGAAGTTCAACAATATTCTTTTATTATTTTTGGGTGCTTCTGGGTGGGAGCTTAATTTGTAAACAAGGCATTGAGATATTATGTATAGTTTCTTAGCAACAGAACTTCTTAGATTTCTCCCTGAAAGAGTAAATTGGGATTAAATGGGAAAGCAATATGGACTGCCATTTTTCTCCATCATGTGAACCTGACCAGTAAGGATGTCTAAGCTGGATGCTGCAAGCTTAAACTGCATGCCTTTAGCAAGCCATCTTTGTGCTTCTATACAAATAATTTTGAAACATTTATTAATTTTGAAACTAAGTTAAACTGCCTGCCATTTCTTGCTGCTGTATGGAAAAGCTCATTAGTCTGACCTTTGAGGAATTTGTAAGTAAACCAAATTTACCTTACCAAACGTGCAGTCTCTTTTTATGTTAAGGGAAATAGGAAACTTTGGAAATGACTTAGACCTTGAAAATGCCCCGTCCTAACATCCTATAGTTCCACGCTTTACTTTGCTGCATGTTTAATGATTTTAAATCTTTGTCGGGGCTCTCTCACCAAGAGTACTTGCCTCAAACCTGGATCTAGGGATCCAGAGAATTCTCCTTTCTATTTAACCAAATTGCAAAAATACCCACAAAAACAAACAAACCGCCAACAGTATGGTCACCGCAAAAATAATAATGTATGCATGAGGAACACCAATCCCACAATAAACATCTGGAAACAATGTCAATCACACACACACACACACACACACACACTGGTACCTCTGGTTACAAACTTAATTAGTTCTGGAGGTCCGTTCTTAACCTGAAACCATTCTTAGCCTGAGGTACCACTTTAGCTAATGGGGTCTCCTGCTGCCGCCGGCGCACAATTTCTGTTCTCATCCTGAGGTAAAGTTTTTAACCCGAGGTACTACATCTGGGTTAGCAGAGTCTCTAACCCAAAGTGTTTGTAACCTGAGGTGTTTGTAATCCGAAGTACCACTGTAGATGATCCGCTGAATGCTGTTAAAAGCAGATTAAAGTTTTTCACCTTTCCAAGAACAATTGCAATTCTGGAGAGAGGGATCTTTTGAAATTCTCCCCCTCTGAATCTTTCCTTTAAGACTAGGAGTGGCGTTTCAGGGAAAGACTCTAAAAGGTCAATAAAATTCATTTCCTGGTGTCAAACGTATTGATGGAACTGAAGCGGAAAGCATGCAAGAGATGAAGTTTCTATCCCATTCTACTGGATGTGCATCTTACTGTTATGACGGCTGCTTTTCTGACAGGAATTCCCATAAGCAGGATAAACAGGGGGCATTCAGAACTTAGAGTGAGTGATAAAAGATCCCGCTTCACTGTATGTTCTTCTATCGTGCAATGCACTGGCAAGCTCTAGAGATAAACATATCACTATCGCTGGAGAGTCACAGTGGGGAAAAATACATTTTCTTTTAAAATAGATTAAATGCAATACCTATGCTTGGAAAAGACTAATCTTGAGCAAAAACACCATGCTTTTGTATGATAAAGATTTGCTGAGTAGAGAATAAATGACAAGCCACTGGGATTTCTGCCTGCGAGGTTTGCTTTACATGCTGCTTTTGTATGTACAAGCAGATGCTTTTGTTTGTTTGTTTTTACATATAGGAGAATAATGAAACTTTATATCTGTGCCACACACACTCAGCAATTTATGCTACGTTGCATGAGTCAGCTGATTTATGTGCTTCAGCTTTTATCCCACCTACAACCACCACTACTAGCAACACAATCCTCTGGAATGAAGCTGTATCTTCTGCAACAATGCTCTTCTAGTATAAATTCAGACAGTGGTTTATTATAGGCAACGAAATGAACTGCATCATGCCAGAGGTGCCTGTATGACAGTGGATAAGTGGGTCCCGTGCTTTTTTTTCTTCTTAAAAAATGTTTAGGGGTACTCTCATTTTGACTCAAGAAAACCACCATTTGGGAAAAATAAATACAGTAAATGGACAAAAGTAGAAAGATTCACAAAATGTTTAGGGTTATGCGTCCCCCTGCGTCCCCCCAGAAAAAAGCATTGAGTGGGTCCTAGGATGGAAAAGGCTGTTCTACACTTTTGGATATGCTTCATAATTTTTTCATATTGGCTTATTGTGAATTTAGGATTCACTTCCTACATCTGCCCCCCCATGCCTGTGAGAATGCCACCAACTGCATGAATACCAAGCTTTGATGACTAACAGCTGAATTTGTGAACTGACTCTACTAAAAAGCATTACATCTGAGAGGATTTCAGACCACATGAAAGTTCCATTTGTGACGGCCCATTCACACATTTGAGTCCACACTGTATGTTGCAGCCAGCTATCCAGTGATTTTAATGTGCATGTGTGAACTGGCCCATTCATTGAGCCGCATCATTATAACTATGTGCAGCTGAATACAGCCAGAAGCCTTTGTGCGGTTGCAAACCCTGTTAAATTTCAGCAACCTGGTGAAATTGATATCTAAATGCAATTCAAAAGCCCATTGCTCAATGTAGAATGGTTTGGGTGGTGCAGAGCAAACAAGGACATTGAAGGGGCATGTTGCACATGCCCTGGTACTCCCTACCCCCTGATCGTGCTTGAATGCCTGAATTAGGCTACATTATCAACTTTGCATCTCTGCATCCGAGGTTTGATTGCAGTTGCAACACATGCTTGCAGGTATAGCTTATAAGTTAATGTCAAGACGACATGTCCACCATATCAGGCATTTCCTAGCTCCATATTTAAGAAGAAAGTTTGATCCTGATCAATCTGGGTGAGATTAATCACCCCTGTGATCTGTTTCCTTATCCAGGAAAATAAACTCCTCCATTAACTTTGATTTCTGTTTTTCATACTACTTTTACAAGAAGCATTATCATGTCCTGGCTACTTTAAAGACTCAGTGATTTTGTGTTACCTTCCATATTACCCATGAAACACTCTCTACCCATCCTCACACTCACTGTTTTGATGGGTAAAATGAACCTTAGGGTGTCCAAGAGGTCTTCCCAAGAACAGGAAGCTGTTTATGTTGAGTCAGACAATTGACCCATGTCCGTATTTTGTCCACAACAGGGTTTCAGACAGGGCTGTTTCTTAGTTCTATCGGGAATTGAACCTATGACCTTCTGAATGCAAAGCATGCACTTTACCACTAAGCTACACCCTCTTCCTTGAAACTCGATTGGACTTTGCATTGGAAAATCAAAGCTGGTTAATACATTTTAAGGACTGGGACAAGAGCTTCAGATGCCAGTCATGTTGGGGAGAGGTGGCAAGGAGGCAAACCAAATTTCTGAATCATTTATTCTTCTCTGCCACGGAATAACAATCACTGGGATGGTGTTACATTGTTTTTTGGGATGTGACTTTAGCTTGTTTACATAACTTGCCAATGCTGAAGAAAACATGGAGGAACAATATTACAGCATTTATTCAAAGACAATGTGCAATCATTGTTGGGTCGGGGAAGTCATGCTATGTTTACTTTCAAGGATTTAGTCAGCTGGGAGATTCATAAGAGTCTAGCTTGAACAAGCAAACATTTGCCTTCTTTTTTTTACCATTGAAGTTATTTCACATTGCATGGCTGGAGACATAAATCTTCTTCTTCCAAAAAGCTTTGGATACATGGCACCAGCTATGCTTCACAAGACATCATCAGCAGGCCTGTGACCTTGAACGCCCAAGAAAACAACCATAATACAACTTCAAACAAGAAATGGCAGCCGTCTCATCGCACGTCAGTGACAAACAATACAAAGCTGGAATTCCTTCTGTGAACTGGCCTCAGAATAAACATCAGCTGTAAAAATGGCAGTCTAGCTAGCGTTTGGCTCATTGATGGAATTCCAGCAGCCAATCATTGCTGTGCAAACTCAGAAATGAAGTCTGCAAGTGATGGCTGAGGATATTTTAGCAGAGAGTGTTTTGGGGAAGAGAGAGAATCTTCACTGCCACACTGGTTCTCCAAGGCTCTATTGGGGTTGTGTTGACAGACATTTCCTCTATCTCCTCCATATTACTCTGTTTGGTACTGAGTTCTGCATTTTAAGATAGGCCTCACATACAGACAAAGTGAGGATTATGTGGACATTGGCTGTAATGACTGGGAGTTGGAAAACTATGTGAAACCACCTTGGGCTCCTTGGAGGAAATGGTGATCTATAAATGTAATAATAAATGATATCCAAGGAATGATGGCAGCTGTTTTCTGTGTATGTATAGATTTCCACCATTGTAGCTTATTTATTTACTTACACCATTTTTCCCCTGCTTTTCTTTCAACGAGTTCAAGGCAGGCTACATGTTCCCCTCCACCCACCATTTTACCCTCTCAAAAACTATGTGTTAGGATAGACTGAGAGGTCACCACATGAGCTTTGTGGCCAAATGAGGATTTGAAACACTGTCTCTCTAGACTTAGTCCAATAATTCAAGCATTACACCACACTAGCTCTTGTACTGCATGCTGCCTTGGTATGAGTGGCCTGGTCACATATGTGTGAACTAAAATGCAGCTGTTTTTTGAAATTCTCACATCTCTGAATTTTGTAGTGTGACCATCTGACTAAAAATGTGTAGAAAAATGCATATATTGGGGAAAGGCATGCATCTAAATGCATATATCAATGAAAATAATGCACAAAATGCATTTTATTAGGGGAATTCCATTGCAAAAAAATGTGTGTATTATGGAAAAGTGCATACTAAAATGTGTATATGAGGAGAAATGCACACTATAATGCTGTCAAATAAATCACATGTGGCAAGCTAAACTTAAGATTGGAATAAAAATAAGAAACTGAGAGAAACCAAAATTGACAGATTATTCAATTTCTACTTCTGTGTCCGGAGAGAATAAAACTAGACAGACTTTCTTTAAGGCAATAACAATGAAACAATAGTATCAAATTATTATTTTATTTTTCGGACTGTATTTGGAATTGTTGGAAAAGGAAGATGGTTTGGGGCATCTTAGTAGATTCTCACTGAGAGTCAAACAAGGGCTGCATCCTAGCAGAGGGTCTCCTTTTGTTTGAATGGCTTCCATAGCCCATTAAGTGTGAAAAGGGCTTTACGATCCATCATTTAGTCAATCAAGCTCTTTCTGACCTTCCTGTAACTAAACTTTAGACAGACATCCCCTAGTAACCAGATCTTCTTGCTTCTTGTGGTCACTCATCTGCCAAAATGCATTTCATTTAGGAACTAAGTGGGTTTCTTTTATGCTGACAGTGATTTTTATGCACAAATGCATGCAAATTTCTCACATCTTCCTTTCTACAAAACCATGCACCTCCTCTCTGGTTTCAGCGGAAAACTCAGGCGTATACAGGATATAGTAGAGAGACTGAGTTAATGAGAGAGAGGTATTCCTGGTAATTTAAAGACAGCACTTTGCCTTTCACTTCCTTCTCAAAACAGTGGAAGCAATTACATCAATATTACCTTTGCTTATTCTATTTCACTTCCCCCTACTCCCCACCCAAGACATTATAAGATGTTTTAAAAAGATACACAAAAAGAAATAGTGCCTCTTTAGAAACTTTAGGTTCCAGATTTGCTTGGCATAAAATGAACCAGGCAAGAGTATCAGGGTTGTCTTGCTGGTTTGGATGAAAGTCCATTGTAGATAAAGGTTTAGTTGTCTTTGGGGTTGGAAAAGATAGAATAATATTTAGCCAAATATATCAAAAGATGGAGTGGAGGAAGGATACGTCTTCTTTTAACTTCTTTTACATAAATGCAGAAAAAGAATGATGTCAGTTAAAGACATACAGTGGTACCTCGGTTTAAGAACAGCCCTGTTTACAAACTATTCGGTTTATGAATTCTGCAAAACAAGAAGTAGTGTCCCGGTTTGCAAACTTTACCTCAGTCTAAGAACGGAATCCGAATGGTGGAAGGGCACTGGCGGCAGGAGGCCTCATTAGGGAAAGCACGCCTTGGTCTAAGAACAGTTTCGGTTTAAGAACAGACTTCCGGAACGGATTAAGTTCGTACACCGAAGTACCACTGTATAGACCCTCTGCATCCCCCAGAATAATCTGAGCTAGTCACAGTGCTATCACTGGAGATATTGTGTCCAGGTTGGCATAGCAATTTGCCCGACCCCTGGCCTCTGTGAGCAGTGGTGCTGTGGACATGTTGGTGGTTTTGATATTCCCTCATGCTCCGCCACTGTCAAGCCAGGATTTGAATGGTTCTGTCCAACTGTTTTTTAATGTTCTGTTCAAGTCTTTGGGGGTGGGGAATGTAAGTGAAAAACATTTTCATGGAACCATAGAATCATGGAATTGTATATTTGGAAGGGACACCAAGATCCATCTAGTCTAAGTCCCTGCAATGCAGGAATTCCTTACTCTGGACTCTATACTTCTGTTGATTCAGGTTTCCCATACTCTGTGTATTAGTATAGAGACAACTGAAACCATGAGTTCATTCCCTTCAGTTGCTTCCTTCTTGTAGTTTACTGCTCTTTAGCAGTTTCGTGGAGCACCACCTCAGTTTCGTGTGCATCAGTGAAGTTATTATCCTTAGTATCAGGTGTTCCCCTGTAATGTTTTATTTTGTCTGCCTCCTCCTTAGGATCTAGTTTAGAACTTCCTGATTAGGCTTGTGAGACTCTTAGCAAACACATTCTTTCCAACCACTGTGAGGTACAACTGATCTCTTGCCAGAATCCCATTTTGTGTGGTCCCACAAAATAACAACAGGTTTTTCAATAAGGCTTGAAATAAAGATGTATCTGTCATGACAAGAAATGTACTTTCTTCATGGAAGCTGGCGCTGTTACATTTGGCATGAACTCACCCTTAGAGTAGCATGGAAACAATCTATGAGATGACACATAAAATGGCAAATTAGTAGAAAGACCAGCTTCTGAAGTGGCAGCAAACTCTATGCTCAGTTCAAATGCTTCAGAATCCCACATGCGGAATGTCTCTGTTGATCAGTAGTGGCCAGTGTTCTGGGGTAGACATCAGTTTTACTGCAGCTTACCTGGACAGTGCTGGAGTGAGAGCAGGATTGGCATTGAGGTTGCGGCTGTGTGGATATGCCAATGCTTCTGTCCGGACATCTGTAGAGGCCCAACCTCAATTGCTACCCCATCCAGGTCAGGAAGGTGACTCCACGGCCGTCCAGCTACAGTGCTCTTGATGAAACTGTGCCATTATATGGTAGGAACAGTCCACTTACATTAGCTCAGCATTGTTTACACTAGCAGCAGTTCCCCAGGGTTTCAGATGGGAGTCTTTCCAGCCTTTCCTGGAGATGCTGGAGACTGAATCTTGGACCTTTTGAATGCAAAGCACAAGCTACAACCCTTCCCCATAATCACACTTTCAGCTGGGACTTTCCAGCCATGATTCACTTGAGTATTGGCAGTATATTTTTTTGACCTACCATACACACAGGAATTGCTCCAGGAAGTGGTATCTGTCAACATGGTTGTGCTGGGTCTGAGAATGCTTCTTCCACATAGCTTCTATCTGTAGGTATGTTACTTATCGGTGGTTTTGGTGCATCTTAAATGATGTTGGGCTGCTTGTGATAAGCTAAGATTTCCCCAGTAGATGCTTATTTCTTACATTTTGCTAAGTTTTTGTGGTGGCAGACCCCGGTTTAATATATCCTAAGCCATCTGAAAGGTGCAAAAGCTGGTTCTCATTTTTGTTTTAAAGAACAAATCCCATTCAAATGGAAAAGTAGTAGACTTCATGAGTGGAGAAAGCATCATCCAACCCCAAACGAAAGGAAAGTAAATCTCCTCATCCTAAAGGCCTATAAATTTGGAGGTGGATGGCAGTCCTGAGTAAAGAATACCGACGTTTTAAGTGAAACATTTGCTGGCAAAGTGGCCGTCGAAAGTGGTTATTGAACATCTTGCCAGAGAGCAAATTGTGGACTAGAGGTCTTTCTTATATTTTGTAGCAAAGCCAACTTCCATTGATACCACCGTCTTGTCAACCCTTTCTGCAGCCATTTGTAAAAAGGCTTGTGATGCGAGATTGACGACTTAAATACTTCATCAATCAATGCTTTAGCCAATGTGTTATTCAGTGATTGGTGGAAAATTCAAGTAATCCATCTTACCCCATCACCCTGTTCTCTTTTCTTTTCAGGTATTTTCAATTTTTCCCTCTTTCTATTTGTTCTTTT